CTCATGGTTATGTCTTGCAAATGTGAATTTACCTTTAGAAATATAATAATTTTAAACCTTTGGTATCATAGTTTAATGTTTCCTATTCGGCAAACAGACCTGGTTGAAACTTGTGATAGAGATTAAAAAGAAAATTCAAACAGAGAGAAAGTGAAACTAAACTGACTCTTACTTTATCTGTTCTTCGTTTCATTGTGGTACACCAGCAGATAACACTTGGCAATACTCAAATAGAAAACACTTTTGATACGAATTTGACTTATTAAAATGTCGAGAGTGTTCAGGAACCGAGGGGGAGGAAATTAGGCCAGGTCAAATGAACCCATTAAGTCTAATATATAAAACCACAAACATTAGCCTGATTTCCTTCTGGTGAGCCTGGTTCCTATACTGTCGGTCTGTCACATTAATAACGACTTATTGCACAGTATTTTAATATGACCTTGATTGCGTTTGCTCATCTCAATATTGTGCATTGTGTTTACGTACCTATTGTATACATTAGTTTGTCGCCAACATGATGCCAGAGTAAAAACCATTATAAGATTTGGTCATTGAGTATTTTTTTAACAAAGCCCAAGAGTGAATTTTAGCTATTCTATTTGTTGGGTGGTTATTTTATTTCTATTCTAATTATTGCGAGTATTTACCTTTTTTAGTAACATTGCAATAACAAAAGTCAATGACATTATTTTAGGGAATTAAAAGTTATATAATACGAGCATTATATCGATGCTGGCCTAAAATAGTTTTAAAATTACAATAACATTGTGGAGTTTGACATTTTCAGGTTGAACTTTAAAATGAAATCCCAAATAAATGATAGGTACACCATTCTTGCTGTAAACCTGTCAGCCTCTATTCATTTTAATTTATGTATATTGTATATGTTATGATGAAGATTACCTTGAACATTGAATAACCCGTAATATTGGGGGCTTTCCTGTTAACTAGAGCTAGCTTTCCTCTAGTAAGCAGGGGCGGACTGGGACTAAAAATCAGCCCGGGACTCTCGAGCGGCCCACTTCGGTACCGCCGGCCCACCTCGGTACCGCTAGTAAATACCGCTAGTAAATACCGCTAGTAAATACTGCTAGTAAATACTGCTAGTAAATACTGCTAGTAAATTGTCAAAGTGGGGGGCTGGTGCTAGTGACTTATCTGACCGGCCCACCTCGGTACCGCTAGTAAATACCGCTAGTAAATACTGCTAGTAAATTGTCAAAGTGGGGGGCTGGTGCTAGTGACTTATCTGACTGGCCCACCTCGGTACCGCTAGTAAATACTGCTAGTAAATACCGCTAGTAAATACCGCTAGTAAATTGCCGATGGGGGGGCTGGTGCTAGTGACTTATCCGACCGGCCCACTTCAGTACCGAACGTCCCGATGGCCAGTCCGCCACTGCTAGTAGGCCATCTCGAAAGACAATGTGGAGATCCAACCTTTTACAAGGGTGTTAGATCACTAAATGCGCTTCCACAATCAAAACCCCAGTACCAAAATATTAGTTTTCAGTCTGGCTCATGTCCTTCGCCTCCCTCGCTTCCTACTGGTATGTTGATACTGCATTATGCTGTACTTACTTTAAAATAGCTCTTGGTGGTGAGAACACAAGCTCAAACAGGAATGCAGATTGAGAAAGGAACAAAAAACAAACAAAACTACATAGCAGAACAAATAACACGCCAAAATACAAATATTATCGTACTGTATCTGTAGAGGTTACATAGTCATGGGTTGAGCTAACTTTTAATAGATCACCACAATACTGAATCTATAATACAGGTGGTGTGTAATCTAAACTTTCTATTGTTGCATTTTTTGAAAGTCACACATCAGATTTAAATGACCAAGGATTGGTAGGATTGTGTAATAGTGTGGGAGTTGTGTTGTGTCCCAGACTACACCGAGGCATGTGTTGTGAAACAGACAGCCTCGAGTGTTTTAATAACCGTGTGTCTGTATGAGCCTGTGGGAAAAAAGAGTTCTGACTATAGGAAAATAATCCTGTTTGTTTCCACAATATGCCCAGCTAAGTGTCATAATGATCACGCCCTCTCACCCACTGGCTTTTCTCACATCTGACTGTACAGAGAGAGTTTTGTTTCAACCCTTTACATAAACAACCTCACAAAGGACACTTTAAAGCAGTGGTTCTCAACTGGTCAGGCCTCGGGACCCACTTTTTACTTTGTCAATAAATCGCGACCCAACATTTTTGAACCACTCAAATCTATTCAACAAAAAATCGTGCTGTAATATATACGCTTTTCAGCATACAATAGTGAAGTACAGTGCATATATCCCTTATATCCCTTCACAGAACCACAGTATGCTTTAAAAAAAGGTTTAATGAGATGATGGAATCAAAGCTGAACTGTATCACATAAAAACGTAACATTCTGAAAACCCAACCCCAGAAGGGGGTCTGGGGGATTTTTTAGAAATACTAACATATAAACTACGCATTCTGGTACACTCTGAGAAGAAGAAATATATATATATTACTACCGACATATTAATAATATTTTATGCCATTGTTTGTTTTTCACTTTGTTCTGACAGCTGAACTTGTCTGTGTGAATTACTTTGTGGGTAAGGGTAGATAGCCCCCATTGTTCTGTGACCTGTCAGTCATCAAACCGGGGGTCATATTTCATTGTGTTCATTTGTATCTGAAGTTGTACCCATGGATGTATAAAGAATAGTTCTACCGCAAAGTTATTCTCCGTGGGGACGTCCGGCAACAATCTTGATTCTGATTGGCCTGAAGACTCGAAAAAACATCAGATGTTGTATTGCCTACTGCATGCACAGCGTTAGAAAATCGGGCCTTCAAAATAAAAGTTTGACTTGTTTCCCAAAAAACAAAAACAAACAAATGTTTTTTTTACATTTTTTTTCTTCCCTCACACATCCCACTCGAAACGGGTTCGCGACCCACTTTTAGTTTGCGACCCACCAGTTGAGAACCACCGCTTTAAAGGACTCTGACAGCAGCTTCCTTATAAAACCATATTTAATAAAGCACAACAAAGAAAGAGTTAAACTTCTTTCTATCCTTTGACAGTTGTTCGCTGCGTCCTGGCAGCTGGGGGATAAAAGATAATCCACATTTACTTTCTCTTTATAGTTTTGAAATTGCACTCATCAACCCTTTAAATTACTACTTGAGTAATTGATACGAGAGCTTGATTTTGAAAAGAGAGAGAAGAAATGAAAGAGCAATGACTAATGAACACGTCTCATCTTGTTCGCCTAATATCTACAAAAACTAACGTCTATTTGTGAGTTATTAATGGTTTTCATGTTGGGTTATGTGCTGTTAGCATCTCTTGACCTAAGTATAACAATTGTACGTTGCTCTTGCCCGCTGTTTTCAATCTTTATGTTAAGCTAAGCTAATCACCTGCTGGCTCTTACAAATATTAAACGCACGAATATAAAGGTGGCTTCACTCTTTTCAGTTTACTAATGGCAAGTAAAGCCCATAAACAAATGAACAAAACAACAACTATTCCTGAAAGAACAAGTTGTCTCCTTGCAATACCGTCGTCACGTATTCAACTCAAGATCAACCTGAAGAAATAACAACTTATAATTCTATAGAAAAAAGGATAAATACATGCATTTGTTTAATACAATTGCATTTTTCCTGCATTCTTGCCCTATAAATCCTCTTTAAACCCAATCAAAATGATCTTGGAATTCTATTCTGGGGACACACTGATCTGGGTTATATTTACTTTTATTACACCAACTCACTTCAGTGCGAGTCCAAAAATACAAAATCCTACAATAGATTCCTTAAAATTAGAGGATGAAAGGGTTATTTAAACATCTATACTGGGACACTTTTATTATCACAACATAATGACGCGTTTCCACACACATGTCAATCGTAACAGGACATTTCGCACTTCTCATTGACGCAAAAACTGGGCAGGGCATCTCTTCGTCCATTTCAAATACAGAAGTGTGTATCTACAAGAGGAAGTCATCATATCTGTCCCATTGCAGCTTCAGCAGAACAATGACTGACAGAAGTTGACACTTACAAACATGCAAAGCAGTGACACAACACACCTCACATTTCCCTTTTTTCAAAACCTGGTGACGACTTTTGAGCAAGGCATTAAACGTAACATGAAACAAGCTGCAGGGAAGTCGCCCGAGCTCTTGACACAACTTCTGCTTTTACTTCCTCTCTGTGAGGTTTGTGAAAATGAGCTGAATTTCCCTGACATTCTTTTTAAAATGCATGACTTCTTTTCATATATCTGCACAATCTCCTGTATTATTAGTGAATGAAGCATGAGGGGAGGAAAAGAGGAAATATCCTCTGCATGTGTCCAGTGTGGCTTGTTTTATAGGACGCAACACTAATGTAGTATTTATGGTATTATTTGAAAAGTAATTGAAGTGATTTATTGAATAAAATAGTCTTCCTGAGTTATTGATCTCTGGTTTTTGGTATTTATAGCTTATAGTATGTTCTCTAATCAGTGTTTGGGGTTCGGATTGGATGGAACAACTGTTATTACAATGGTTTTTGGATTAAAAAATGTAACTTTGAAGCTTGTAACTTAGAGTAGTTTGGTAAGAGACTATCATGTTCTTTTTAGCTGAAAAAATTGGGTACAGGACAAACTTCTTACAAAAAATTAGTTTTAATTGACTCTCCCTGGACTCCAATGGCTGGATGAAAGAACTTGAAGACCACCTGCTGAGAAACATCAGCCAGGTAAGTTTTCATGAGGTCGTAAGGGTTAGTAATAGGTTTGTGAGCACTTTAACACAATTGTTCAATGAATGAATATGTCTATGTGCATTACAGTATGTCTCACTGTCTGTGAGGGATCCAGTACACTACTGACAACCATAGAGCTTCATTCACGACGAGGCGTCCCTTCTGCAAAGAGAGGGAAGGACTGAAAGGAGGTGGGTGTGACCAAAATTACAAAATGCATTACACTGGAGGTCTCGCAGCCACTTCAGTATGAATGGTAGAGCTGCTCAGGACATCTGGTGCAGCAAGTAAGAAAGTTAGTGAGGGAGATAGAGAGGGAGAGGAAGCGCTCACATGCTTTGCTCAGGATGACTTTTACTCCACCAGGCAAAAGTTTTAAAGTGAAAGAAAATGTCAGGTTTGGTGCAAATCTACAGTCTATGGTGCAAATGCGTGCCGTGCAAAGTAGAAAGGGAAAGGACGTGCAAAGTTTGCGCATGAAAGCCAGTGATGAGGGGTAAGTGCGAGTTTTTTTTAATGAATAAAACTCACTTCTAATTTTTAACTTCACAGGTGTACTCTCTTCAAACTCCAAACCAGGAAGCTGTTGGTGGTTTTGATACAATTGCATTCACTTAGGTTGAATTTGTGCAACTACACAGTGATATTTCAACACTTTACACAGAAGTAGACATTGTACAAACTGCAGTTTCTAAGAAGTTAAGTGTATTGCTCACTCATGCGTAATGGGCGGTTTGCAAGATAAAAGGAAGTATGCGGTGTCAGACAGAGATAGTAACCAGGTCTTCCTCTTTCTTTTGTATTTCAAAAAAGTTGTTGAATGACATGACTTTACACGCTTTTCTATGGTTGCACCCTGTTTTTTCTGCGTGTATGTGTGTGTTGTATCCATGAATGAACCACAAGCGTCAGAGGAGCAGCATCCGGGTTTTATTAACATTCTTGTGACTTGTGTTAACTTCACTGATCTTTTTATAGTCTGATGATCATTATCAGCATGTGGAGTTTGGATGGTGAGCGTCACCTCCTGGAGAAAGTTACCAGAATCCGGTGGGCGTCACTTAAATACTTGAATACTGCACTCTCAGTAACTAGCATATGCTGCGTTCAGGTGCTGTCGGAAACGAGTAAAGCGGCCATTTATATGCACCTGCATCAGAATAAACAACTGATTGACCTTTTATTTAAACATTATGACAAAACAAACTGAAAATGATGATATTTAGCTGTTAACATGGTATGTGCAGCATCAAAACAGTAAAGAGAATATTCGACTCATAATTCAGGTTTTCATTTGAAAGAACCACACATTTCATGACTGAATTTGGTACCACTTTACAATAAGACTACCCTTATAAAGGACTCATAAAGGGTTTATAATTAGGTTGTAAACACTTTATTAATCATTAAGAACCATTTATAAACCAGTTCTAACATAGTTTTCATTCATCAACACAGGCTCACTATTTGGCAAGATGACTAAGCCTTATATTGGCTACTTAGCGGGAATCAAGTCAGTGAACAACAGATACCAAGGATGCTGGCTGATGAAGAAGACAAAGTAAGCTAAGTAGCCAATATAAGGCTTAGCAGTGCAGATAAATGTGGGCTCACTATTTGGCAAGCAACCGGTCCCAGTTGCCCTGTTTATCTCATGTCTTATAAAAGCTTATTAATGATTTATAAAGTGTTCACAGCCTAATTAATCAATGAATTACAAACTATTCGTAAACCCTTTATAAGGGTAGTCTTATTGTAAAGTGGTACCCTGAATTTTACAGTGATACACTTAACATAAGTGTGGATGTTGCCTATTCATACTCTGCCGCCTTGTCAGAATCAGTTTTCTTACAATTGCTCAGGACAAGTACTAAATATTTTGCCCCAAAGTCCATTCAGTAATTAAAGTGCTTTGGATTGCATCACACAATCTTCCAAAAATATGAAAGCCATGAAAAAGACCACAAGAGGAAAGAGACACTACAGAAAAAATTCTACCAAATGTTGTCTTATTTTCACTTCCTAAGAAATGTTTTTTCTCCCACTCGTAAATGTTCAATGACTTTCAAGACTCCCTGGACTCAGAGATCTTTTATCTTAGCGGGACTTACCGTCTAGGATAAATTGATCAAGTTGAAAGAAAAAAGCCTGACACGACATCGCTCAGCTTTTTATTACCTTCTGTTACCCATCATCTTGTCACCATTTCATTTCTCCATCATTTGGATTTACATTTGGATCAAAAAGATAGAAGGCAAGGCAAGGCAAGTTTATTTATATAGCACTTTTCAACACAAGGCAATTCAAAGTGCTTTACAACAAATGAAAGACATTAAGAAAATGGCATTTAAAATCAGTCATTAAAAAGAAAAGCTAATAAAATAAACATTAAAAGAAAAAATACATGGATAAAAGTTACAGTGCAGTTTAAGATGTGAATAGTTCAATTAAAAGCAGCGACAAAAAGAAAAGTCTTCAGCCTGGATTTAAAAGTAGTCAGAGTTGCAGCGGACCTGCAGGTTTCTGGGAGTTTGTTCCAGATATTTGGAGCATAATAATGAACGCTGCTTTACCATGTTTAGTTCTGACTCTGGGGACAGAAAGCTGACCAGTCCCTGAAGACCTGAGAGATCTGGATGGTTCATAATTTAGCAGGAGATCAGAAATGTATTTTGGGCCTAAACCATTCAGTGCTTTATAAACCAGCAGCAGTATTTTGAAATCTATTCTTTGACACACAGGAAGCCAGTGTAAAGACTTCAGAACAGGAGTGATGTGATCCACTTTCTTAGTGTTAGTGAGGACTCGAGCAGCGGCGTTCTGAATCAGCTGCAGCTTTCTAATAGATTTTTTAGTGAGACCCGTGAAGACACCATTACAGTAGTCCAGTCTACTGAAGATAAAAGCATGGACAAGTTTTTCCAAATCCTGCTGTGAAGATGAAGATGTGTGTGTGTGTGTGTGTGTGTGTGTGTGGTGTGTGTGTGTGTGTGTGTGTGTGTGTGTGTGTGTGTGTGTGTGTGTGTGTGTGTGTGTGTGTGTGTGTGTGTGTGTGTGTGTGTGTGTGTGTGTGTGTGTGTGTGTGTGTGTGTGTGTGTGTGTGTGTGTGTGTGTGTGTGTGTGTGTGTGTGTGTGTGTGTGTGTGTGTGTGTGTGTGTGTGTGTGTGGTGTGTGTGTGTGTGTGTGTGTGTGTGTGTGTGTGTGTGGTGTGTGTGTGTGTGTGTGTGTGTGTGTGTGTGTGTGCGTTTCATAATGAGTGACTTGGGGTTTCCCTGCCCCTGTTTCTTCCATTCATGTGGCTGGAGATGGAGGGTATAGAGCTGTCAACCCCGGAAACCAGCTGAATATTGAGTGAATGAGTTTGAGGGAGAGAGAGGAAGAGTGACTGTAAATGTGTGACAGTGAGCAGGAGTGTGTGTGTGCCTGCGTGTGTGCTACAGCAGTGAGATAGATTGTGTGTGAGGGAGAGGCAATACAAGGGAGTGTTTGCATATTTTATTTATACAACATACCTTTATTAACAGTGGTGTGTTCTTTCAGATCGTGTGTGTATGCTTGCTTGCTTGCTTGGCCTTATTAGCACAAGCTTCCTCTTCCTAACTTTCACCATTTTGCATCCCTAGCGACTAAATAATATGATGCTTAGCAGGAAGGAACAAACACACACACGTTAACCATGATATCATATGTTTTTGGCACCGACACAAGCTAACATATAACATTAAGAATACCTATACATTGGAAAGATAAACTGCATTATTCCCAGGCAGATTTTGATGATATGCAAATATTCCAGCTGCTGCATACATTAAGTTAAAGATAATCTGTAACTCACATCAACATCCAATCATCAATGGCAATGTTACTATGGCTGGTAATAAACAAAACTATTTATATACTTGTATTCTATTATCATGGAATCATGATTATGAGTAAACATAATTCCTGCAATTGAAATACTGCATGTCTGCGAGTCAGTCGTGGCCTCGTCCGCCTCTGTTGATCTTGTTAATGCTACTAGGGGGCAGTGCTTCTCCAAAACTGTGTGCGGTCTTAAATTCGTTTTGAAATCAAAAAATCAGAGCAGCTTGCAAAGCAATCAAAGTGAGACATTAAGGATTAGAACAGGTGATCCTTTCAACCCTTGCACACATGTTATATTTCATATGGTACAGTACACAAATAAATCAAAAAGCCAAACAATCAAACCTTCTCTGTTTATAGTTTCTCAGACGTTAGGAATGGCTGATTTGTAGTTTGGACTAGTATGGGACAAGACATCTGAAAATGTCATATAGTGCTCTTGGGAAATGCGCTGGGATTTTTAAAAGATAGACAAAAGTACTTATTTTTTTACATTACATTACATGTCACTTGTTAGACGCTTTTATCCAAAGCGACTTACATACTCAATACTGTGGGCAATCCCCACAGGAGCAATTTGGGGTGAAGTGTCTCAGGGACACAACGACATGCTGACTGCAGTGGGGTTTGAACCTGTGACCTCCTGATCCGAATACCAACTCACAACCCACTGCACCACACGCCTCCTTATTTCATTCTCAATTCATTCATTATGAATATCCCATTATTTTGCAACCCAACTTAGGCTAGCTTTGCATAGAGACTGGAATCGGGGGTGCCGCTAGCCATATTATTAACCTTTTAAATGTTTTCCACCTGGATATATGTAGATATTTCTGTAATATGAAGCCTTAAGGATGGGAATTGATTCAGCATTGTGAAGTGGCACTTTGATGAGAGTTAAGAATGACCTCTCCATCATACCTGGGATATTCAGCTTTTGTGTCGTGCGCTGAGGTGCTGCATGGAAATGCATTCAAAGCAGGAAGTGACTGATAATAGGTGGCTCTATTTGCTACGCCACCGCTCACACAAATGAGGGGAAATGAACATGAGAGATGTTGCTATGGAGATGCAAGCAGAAGTGGAGAAAGGTGTGAGCCAAAGGTGTGAAGTTCATCACAGGTTCAAATTCATCCGTCACAGCCGAGTGAGATAACAGTTCAATATATCGTCAGATTGTCAGTTGAAGTATTTGGTAGAGAGAGAAAAATACAGGAAGAGGAACCAGACTTCATCTAACCAATCAACATATGGCTGCAGAGGGAAGTGAAAGCATATTGAATGCTCGACTAGAATAATCTAATATAATCCCAGTTAGTGTTGCATAGTCAGGCCTCCCTTTTCTGTCATGCTCAATGAAGTCTGAGGATATTCCTTCTGGAAATCTGAGCACACTGTTGTTGGAAAGAGGCTAGACGAATAGGTAAGAACAGGGCAAATACACTTTTGTCACAATTCAAACACTACAGAAAACAGAAGAGGAAGCAAACACAATGAACTGTCCAATCAAATGGCTGAAAATGACTGCTTAAATAAATTACCATGTTTTTTTAGGAACGAAAAGATTAACCTTGCAATGCCCCTTTGTTAGACCAGGAACAAACCGAAAAACACAACATATTTTTTCCT